GAACTTTAGTAGCCATTTGTTGGACCATTCATTCAGTCTTTCTAGGTCATCTTGTAGCCTCATACTATCATCCTCTGTTTTAATCCTTTTTAGTTCCTTTAATCCTTTTTAGATCCTCCTCATAATTTTTGCATCATCAGCAAACAATGAGAGGAACGATTCTATACCCCCTGGGAGATCATTTACATATATCAGAAACAGTATGGGTCCAAGGACTGACCCCTGCGGGACTCCACTGGTGACGTCTCGCCAATCTGAGGCCTCACCCCTCACTGTGATTCGCTGCCTTCTGTTCCTTAGGTACTCCTTTATCCAATGGAGTACCTTCCCTTTCACTCCTGCCTGCATCTCCAGCTTTTTCACTAGCCTCTTGTGTGGTAATGTGTCAAAGGCTTTCTGGCAATCCAAAAATATGCAGTCTGCCCACCTTTCTCTTTCTTGCCTGATTTTTGTTGCCTGGTCTTAGAATTCAATTAATCTTGTGAGGCAGGACCTGCCATCCCTGAACCCATGTTGATGCTGTGTTACAAAATTCTTTCGCTCCAGATGTTCCACTAGCTTTCTTCGCACAATCTTCTCCATCAGCTTGCATGGTATGCAGGTTAGGGACACTGGCCTGTAGTTCAGTGCCTCCTGTCTATTCCCTTGTATATCGGAACTACATTAGCCGTCTTCCACATTTTTGGCAATTTCCCTGTTACCAGTGATTTCTTATGCACTATGGAGAGTGGCAGACACAGTGCTTCTGCTCCTTCCTTTAGTATCCATGGGGAGATTCTATCCGGGCCTATAGCCCTTGTCACATCCAACTCTAGCAAGTGCTTCCTTACATCCACACTGGTAATCTCAATCTCTTCTAGTGGTTCCTGGTTGACTATTCCCTCTCTTATCTCTGGAACTTCTCTTTGCTCTAAGGTGAAGACCTCCTGGAATTTCTTATTCAGTTCCTCGCACACATCCTTGACGTTTGTAGTGAATCTGTCTGCCCCTATCCTTATATTCATTACCTGTTCCTTTACTATTGTTTTTCTGCTGATGTGACTATGCAGTAATTTTGGCTGAGTCTTTGCCTTGCTTGCGATGTCATTTTCGTATTGCCCTTCTGCCTCTCTTCTCAACCTGACGTATTCATTCCTGGCATTCTGGTATCTTTCTTTGCTCTCCAGTGTCCTGTTATTTCTATTGCGTATGGCTGAGATTGTATAATGTGTATGGCAGACACTGTATATTGTATATGGCAGACACTGTATTCTGTATATGGCAGAGACTGTATACTGTATATGGCGGACACTGTATATTGTGTATGGCAGACACTGTATTCTGTATATGGCAGAGACTGTATACTGTATATGGCAGACATGTTATGCTGTGTATGATACAGTCAGTATATTGGGTGTGTAAATCACGAAGAAATTTAAACACTATGAATATGTGAAGAATTTTACATATATCATGAATTTCATACAATTTTCACATCAAACTTTCACATACATTTCATACAATTTTCACATAACATGTTCACATAAATTGCATACAATTTTCACATAAATTTCATACAATTTTCACATAAATTTCATACAATTTTCACATAAAATTTCACATAAATTTCATACAATTTTCACATAAAATTTTCACATAAATTTCATTCATTTTTCACATAAAATGTTTACATAAATATCATACAATCTTCACATAAAATGTTCACATAAATTTCATACAATTTTCACATAAAATTTTCACATAAATTTCATTCATTTTTCACATAAAATGTTTACATAAATATCATACAATCTTCACATAAAATGTTCACATAAATTTCATACAATTTTCACATAAAATTTCCACATACATTACATAAAATTTTCACATACAAATTTCACATAAAAATTACAATTTTCACCTAAAACTTTCACATAAATATCACACAATTTTCACATAAAATTTTCACATAAATTGCAGTCAAAAAGAATGGAAACATGAAATGACTTTCCTGTAATTGAACATATAATCAAAAGTAAATATAAAACTTTAAGTTATTACACAATATATAGCTGCAATATAAATATGTAGGCAGGACTGCGACGTGTCGGGTATAAAATAGGTCTTTGGTAACATAGGTTCATGAAGCTATATTCGTGAATATATGTACAAGATCTGTGTACAAGATCTTGTATATATTTACAAGGGGGAAATATAAGGTTTAATACATGAGAGTTTCTGTTAGCAGTGTCTCTAATGACTGACATATGTGTTACTAAATACATAGTGTATTGTGTATTAATTATTAAACAAAATTCGTTTTTTTAATTGATCAATTAAAAATGGATCCAAATTGTGCTAAAATATTACTAATATTCAGATTATATGCTTTATAATTTGTATTAGAGCAGATTCAATAAGTTTTCTATTGGAAATTCTTTGAAAATTTGTTATTGAAGAAGGTCTCCCTCAGTCAGTTTGACGACAATTCTCTGACAAATGAACGGAAGAAGCATTAGATAACTGGTTATCTTCAGAGATTATCTTGAGATGATTTCGGGTCTTAGAGTTCCCGCGGCCCGGTCCTCGACCAGGCCTCCTTTTTGTTACACATCCCCAGGAAGCACGCTGTAGCAGCTGTCTAACTCCCAGGTACCTATTTAATGTTAGGTGAACAGCAGCATCATGGTGAAAGAAACTCTGCCCATTTGTATCCGCCTCCACCGGGGATTGAACCGGAAACCTTAGGACTACGAATTCGAAGCGCTGTCCATTCAGCTATCAGGCCACCAGCTGGTCAACTGACCAATTTCTATGCTGCGAAATTCGATATTTCAATTCTTGAGGTATTTGACCTAAAAGAAATGAATTAAAAACTTTATCAGGTATTTTGTGGAATATCACAAGTTACCCATACGACGCTGTTTCTATCTAATAATTTTCCATTAGTATTTTCATAATTAAACAACACATCAAAGCGATTCAAGATATTGACCATATTTTCGAAATTTTCGAACCCAGAAAATTTTTTTAAACAAAACACTTTTTTTTTTAATATTCTGATTGCTGATTTTGTTATAACATGAACGTTAAGCTTTGGTACGACAAGCTGTAAAGAAACTTGCATGACTGTTTGAAACCCAAAGAATTAATATTGTCAAACTTCGTATTTAAGAACTCAGGACTAACGATTCAGAGAGCTCTTAGATATAGGCAGAAAAAGTATATAGATTAACATTATATTAAAATTCAGGAGGAAATAATGAACACGAACAAAATGGTTACTGTACTGTGTACAGTGATTGTACTGTGTACAGTGATTGTACTGTGTACAGTGATATATTGTACTGTGTACAGTGATATATTGTACTGTGTACAGTGATATATTGTACTGTGTACAGTGATATATTGTACTGTGTACAGTGATATATTGTACCGTGTACAGTAATATATTGTACTGTGTACAGTGACTGTACTGTGTACAGGAATATATTGTACTGTGTACAGTGATACATTGTACAGTGAAGAGTAATATATTGTACTGTGTACAGTGATATATTGTACTGTGTACAGTGATATATTGTACTGTGTACAGGGATATATTGTACTGTGTACTGTAATATATTGTACTGTGTACAGTGATATATTGTACCGTGTACAGTAATATATTGTACTGTGTACAGTGATATATTGTACTGTGTACAGTGATATATTGTACTGTGGGCAGTGATATATTGTGCAGTGTACAGTGATATATTGTACTGTGTACAGTGACTGTACTGTGTACAGTGACTGTACTGTGTACAGTGATATATTGTACTGTGTACAGTGATATATTGTACTGTGTACAGTGACTGTACTGTGTACAGGAATATATTGTACTGTGTACAGTGATACATTGTACAGTGAAGAGTAATATATTGTACTGTGTACAGTGATATATTGTTTTGTGAACAGTGATATATTGTACAGTGTCTTGTAATATATTTTACTGTGTACAGTGATATATTGTACTGTGTACAAGAAGATATTTTACTGTGTACAGTGATATATTGTACCGTGTACAGTGATATATTGTACCGTGTACAGTGATATATTGTACTGTGTACAGTGATATATTGTACTGTGTACAGTGATATATTGTACTGTGTACAGTGATATATTGTATTTTGTACAGTAATATATTGTACGGTGTACAGTGAAATATTGAACTGAGTACAGTGATATATTGTACTGTGTACAGTAATATATTGTACTGTGTACAGTGATATATTGTACAGTGTCTTGTAATATATTTTACTGTGTACAGTGATATATTGTACGGTGTACAGTGAAATATTGAACTGTGTACAGTGATATAGTGTACTGTGTACAGTGATATAGTGCACTGTGTACAGTAGACACTGTATTCTGTGCGTGAGGTAGATATTGCATATTGTGTATGAGAGATATAGTTTAGTGTATTAAGAACATACTGTGTAATGTTCATTGTAGGCGGGTGTTGCTGTATGTGGCACACATTGTATTAATCGCATACTTAATACAGCTCTTCGTGTATAAAGTATGATACGAACATTCACCCAGTGTATGATTTTGAGATTATCTTTAGGTTATCTTGAGATGATTTCGGGGCTTAGCGTCCTCGCGACCCGGTCCTCGACCAGGCCTCCTTTTTGTTACACATCCCCAGGAAGCAGCCCGTAGCAGCTCTCTAACTCCCAGGTACCTATTTATTGCTAGGTGAACAGGAGCATCAGGGTGTAAGAAACATTTTGCGCATTTGTCTCCGCCTCCACCGGGGATCGAACCCGGAACCTCAGGACTACGAATCCGAAGCGCTGTCCACCCAGCTGTCAGGCGCTGATAGAGATTAATCATTCATACGTTTTTCAAAGACTTTATTATTTAGTTATTTTGTTAAATTAATGATAGCCAGACGCTCCGAAGCCAGTTTATCCGAAATTTTCATCTCAGAGGCAACCGAGCTGTTCCCAGTTCGATTCCCTGAGGCGGAACGAGTATTAGGAGAGAAGCCTTGATACTGAGGTCTCAGAATCAGAATCAATAGGTTCATATAAGGCTGGTATGACAGTAGTGGGTGCTGTCATATGTGGGATGACAGTGGCAGCCTCTGTCATATGTGGGATGACAGTGGCAGCCTCTGTCATATGTGGGATGACAGTGGCAGCCTCTGTCATATGTGGGATGACAGTGGTGGCCGCTGTCATATGTGGGATGACAGTGGTGGGTGCTGTCATATGTGGGATGACAGTGGTGGCCTCTGTCATATGTGGGATGACAGTGGTGGGTGCTGTCATATGTGGGATGACAGTGGTGGGTGCTGTCATATGTGGGATGACAGTGGTGGCCTCTGTCATATGTGGGATGACAGTGGTGGGTGCTGTCATATGTGGGATGACAGTGGTGGGTGCTGTCATATGTGGGATGACAGTGGTGGGTGCTGTAATATGTGGGATGACAGTGGTGGGTGCTGTCATATGTGGGATGACAGTGGTGGGTGATGTCATATGTGGAATGACAGTGGTGGGTGCTGTCATATGTGGGATGACAGTGGTGGCCTCTGTCATATGTGGGATGACAGTGGCGGCCTCTGTCATATGTGGGATGACAGTGGTGGCCTCTGTCATATGTGGGATGACAGTGGTGGCCTCTGTCATATGTGGGATGACAGTGGTAGCCTCTGTCATATGTGGGATGACAGTGGCGGCCTCTGTCATATGTGGGATGACAGTGGTGGCCTCTGTCATATGTGGGATGACAGTGGCAGCCTCTGTCATATGTGGGATGACAGTGGTGGCCTCTGTCATATGTGGGATGACAGTGGTGGCCTCTGTCATATGTGGGATGACAGTGGTGGGTGCTGTCATATGTGCGATGACAGTGGTGGGTGCTGTCATATGTGGGATGACAGTGGTGGGTGCTGTCATATGTGGGATGACAGTGATGGCTGCTGTCATATGTGGAATGACAGTGGTGGGTGCTGTCATATGTGGGATGACAGTGATGGCCTCTGTCATATGTGGGATGACAGTGATGGCCTCTGTCATATGTGGGATGACAGTGGTGGCCTCTGTCATATGTGGGATGACAGTGGTGGCCGCTGTCATATGTGGGATGACAGTGGCGGCCTCTGTCATATGTGGGATGACAGTGGTGGCATCTGTCATATGTGGGATGACAGTGGTGGCCTCTGTCATATGTGGGATGACAGTGATGGCTGCTGTCATATGTGGGATGACAGTGGTGGGTGCTGTCATATGTGGGATGACAGTGATGGCCTCTGTCATATGTGGGATGACAGTGATGGCCTCTGTCATATGTGGGATGACAGTGGTGGCCTCTGTCATATGTGGGATGACAGTGGTGGCCTCTGTCATATGTGGGATGACAGTGGTGGCCTCTGTCATATGTGGGATGACAGTGGCGGCCTCTGTCATATGTGGGATGACAGTGGTGGGCGCTGTGCTGTCATATATGGGATGACAGTGGTGGCCTCTGTCATATGTGGGATGACAGTAGTGGGCGCTGTCATATGTGGGATGACAGTGGTGGGCGCTGTGCTGTCATATATGGGATGACAGTGGTGGCCTCTGTCATATGTGGGATGACAGTGGTGGCCTCTGTCATATGTGGGATGACAGTGGTGGGTGCTGTCATATGTGCGATGACAGTGGTGGGTGCTGTCATATGTGGGATGACAGTGGTGGGTGCTGTCATATATGGGATGACAGTGGTGGCCTCTGTCATATGTGGGATGACAGTGGCAGCCTCTGTCATATGTGGGATGACAGTGGCAGCCTCTGTCATATGTGGGATGACAGTGGTGGCCTCTGTCATATGTGGGATGACAGTGGCTGCCTCTGTCATATGTGGGATGACAGTGGCAGCCTCTGTCATATGTGGGAGGACAGTGGTGGCATCTGTCATATGTGGGATGAGAGTGGCGGGCGCTGTCATATGTGGTTACTCACCAAGGACGCTCACTGTGCTTGGTTACTCACCAAGGGCGCTCACTGTGCTTGGTTACTCACCAAGGACGCTCACTGTGCTTGGTTACTCATCAAGGGAGCTCACTGTTCTTGGTTACTCACCAGGGGCGCTCACTGTGCTTGGTTACTCATCAAGGGAGCTCACTGTTCTTGGTTACTCACCAAGGGCGCTCACTGTGCTTGGTTACTCACCAAGGGCGCTCACTGTGCTTGGTTACTCATCAAGGGCGCTCACTGTGCTTGGTTACTCACCAAGGGCGCTCACTGTGCTTGGTTACTCACCAAGGACGCTCACTGTGCTTGGTTACTCACCAAGAACGCTCACTGTGCTTGGTTACTCATCAAGGGAGCTCACTGTGCTTGGTTACTCATCAAGGGAGCTCACTGTGCTTGGTTACTCATCAAGGGCGCTTACTGTGCTTGGTTACTCATCAAGGGCGCTCACTGTGCTTGGTTACTCACCAAGACGCTCACTGTGCTTGGTTACTCACCAAGGACGCTCACTGTGCTTGGTTACTCACCAAGGGCGCTCACTGTGCTTGGTTACTCATCAAGGGCGCTTACTGTGCTTGGTTACTCACCAAGGGCGCTCACTGTGCTTGGTTACTCACCAAGGACGCTCACTGTGCTTGGTTACTCACCAAGGGCGCTCACTATGCTTGGTTACTCATCAAGGGCGCTCACTGTGCTTGGTTACTCACCAAGGACGCTCACTGTGCTTGGTTACTCACCAAGACGCTCACTGTGCTTGGTTACTCATCAAGGGCGCTCACTGTGCTTGGTTACTCACCAAGGGCGCTCACTGTGCTTGGTTACTCACCAAGGACGCTCACTGTGCTTGGTTACTCACCAAGGGCGCTCACTATGCTTGGTTACTCATCAAGGGCGCTCACTGTGCTTGGTTACTCACCAAGGACGCTCACTGTGCTTGGTTACTCACCAAGGGCGCTCACTGTGCTTGGTTACTCATCAAGGGAGCTCACTGTGCTTGGTTACTCACCAAGGGCGCTCACTATGCTTGGTTACTCACCAAGGACGCTCACTGTGCTTGGTTACTCACCAAGGGCGCTCACTGTGCTTGGTTACTCACCAAGGACGCTCACTGTGCTTGGTTACTCACCAAGGGCGCTCACTGTGCTTGGTTACTCACCAAGGACGCTCACTGTGCTTGGTTACTCACCAAGAACGCTCACTGTGCTTGGTTACTCACCAAAGACGCTCACTGTGCTTGGTTACTCACCAAAGACGCTCACTGTGCTTGGTTACTCACCAAGGGCGCTCACTGTGCTTGGTTACTCACCAAGGACGCTCACTGTGCTTGGTTACTCACCAAGGACGCTTACTGTGCTTGGTTACTCACCAAGGACGCTCACTGTTCTTGGCTACTCACCAAGGGCGCTCACTGTCCTTGGTTACTCACCAAGGGCGCTCACTGTCCTTGGTTACTCACCAAGGACGCTCACTGTCCTTGGTTACTCACCAAGGACGCTCACTGCTTGCTTCTACTTACTTGCTTTTTTGCAAATCGGTTGGAAGGTTGTCGGAATGTTTCAAAAAAAGTATTTGCAAAACCTTTGTTAAAACTACACACAAAACTGAACCGTAAACATTGCAAGATTGAGTAAGAATCTCAATCTTTCTTACTCACCTTTGAGTAAGAAAGATCTTTTCTTACCAAATTTACAAGGAAAAGGGTCTTTTTCTTACCAAATTTACAAGGAAAAGGGTCTTTTTCTTACCAAATTTACAAGGAGAAAGGTGTTTTTCTTACCAAATTTACAAGGAGAAGGGTCTTTTTCTTACCAAATTTACAAGGAAAAGGGTCTTTTTCTTACCAAATTTACAAGGAGAAAGGTCTTTTTGTTACCAAATTTACAAAGAGAAAGGTCTTTTTCTTACCAAATTTACAAGAAGGGTCTTTTTCTTACCAAATTTACAAAGAGAAAGGTCTTTTTCTTACCAAATTTACAAAGAGAAAGGTCTTTTTCTTACCAAATTTACAAGGAGAAAGGTCTTTTTCTTACCAAATTTACAAAGAGAAAGGTCTTTTTCTTACCAAATTTACAAGGAGAAAGGTCTTTTTCTTACCAAATTTACAAAGAGAAAGGTCTTTTTCTTACCAAATTTACAAGGAGAAGGGTCTTTTTCTTACCAAATTTACAAGGAGAAAGGTCTTTTTCTTACCAAATTTACAAGGAGAAGGGTCTTTTTCTTACCAAATTTACAAGGAGAAGGGTCTTTTTCTTACCAAATTTACAAGGAGAAAGGTCTTTTTCTTACCAAATTTACAAGGAGAAGGGTCTTTTTCTTACCAAATTTACAAGGAGAAGGGTCTTTTTCTTACCAAATTTACAAGGAGAAGGGTCTTTTTCTTACCAAATTTACAAGGAGAAGGGTCTTTTTCTTACCAAATTTACAAGGAGAAAGGTCTTTTTCTTACCAAATTTACAAGAAGGGTCTTTTTCTTACCAAATTTCGTTTGCTCAACGACCAAACTGTCTCGGTAAGTATTGTGATAGCGGGGAAGAAAGAGTCAAACAACGGGATGATTCTAACATATATTATAGCAGTGGTTATGTTATCCATTATGCTATAGCAGCTGTTATCTATATGCTATAGCAGCTGTTATCTATATGCTATAGCAGCTGTTATCCATTATGCTATAGCAGCTGTTATCTATATGCTATAGCAGCTGTTATCTATATGCTATAGCAGCTGTTATCCATTATGCTATAGCAGCTGTTATCTATATGCTATAGCAGCTGTTATCTATATGCTATAGCAGCTGTTATCCATTATGCTATAGCAGCTGTTATCTATATGCTATAGCAGCTGTTATCTATATGCTATAGCAGCTGTTATCCATTATGCTATAGCAGCTGTTATCTATATGCTATAGCAGCTGTTATCTATATGCTATAGCAGCTGTTATCCATTATGCTATAGCAGCTGTTATCTATATGCTATAGCAGCTGTTATCTATATGCTATAGCAGCTGTTATCTATATGCTATAGCAGCTGTTATCTATATGCTATAGCAGCTGTTATCTATATGCTATAGCAGCTGTTATCCATTATGCTATAGCAGCTGTTATCTATATGCTATAGCAGCTGTTATCCATTATGCTATAGCAGCTGTTATCCATTATGCTATAGCAGCTGTTATCCATTATGCTATAGCAGCTGTTATCCATTATGCTATAGCAGCTGTTATCCATTATGCTATAGCAGCTGTTATCCATTATGCTATAGCAGCTGTTATCTATATGCACGCATCAAGAAGGTTTAGGTTCCTCAAGTACAAATTAAGGTAATTTTTGGAACTTTTTTTAAGGTGTTTTGGCCAAAAAAAATATACAATACTGTAGGAACGATATTTTGTGAGTGTTCGAAATACAACATATCTCAACCAGGTCATACAATACGACCTGTTTACAGTCCTTATCAGCCCAGGTTTGATCTAAGATAATAGGGAAGGATAATCAAGGTGGTTAAGGACTTTGCAATAATTGTTGACTCAGCAGGAGGTGGAAATTGTTGCAACAATCTTCCTCCAGTAATCATGAAACTTGAGGCTGTCAATGTCACGTTGGGTGAAATAATCCGTGTCTCTCCAGACACAGCTCAGGGAAGTGGCCTAAGACGCACTGCATCTTATACACACACTTTCTCTTCATATCATTTATATTTGGTTCCGTTTGAGGCAGGATTCAAATCATATTTTGGGGGGAAATCAAGAAAATGTCTATACCATTTTTTTGCCTGGCAGTTTAATCTGCGTCTCTCAAGTGCTAAATGTTGAACAATGCAATCAGATCAGATCTTTCGCACCGACGGTACAGAAGCTTCGCGATACAAGATGGCCGCCAGAAAGTTAGCATTAGAGGCAGTCTTGTAGAATGTATCAGCACTAGTACTTGCTCTACAAAAGTCAGCTTTTTTTTATTATTATTATTTTCTACCACAGACGTGGCCGGACATTTACAGTGCTAACTAGCATATATACATTTTCTTCTGTCCTCCATGGACAGGGTGAGAGATGTGTTAAACATATAATCTAGGGATTTATTGAACAATCAACCACAGAAGGTGATTCGGTGCTTTTAAAATGCTAAGCTAGCCTACATAAGTCAATACATAGATACATATATTTACGTATGCCCTACATAAATTGTTCGATGTGTCTCTTATATAGTGTCATTAATGTGCATTTACAAAGGTGAAATGTAATTCTGATCAGCTTCCGCATATACTTTATACACATACATATACATATACGTACATATACATATATATACATACATATATATACATACATATATACACACACATGCATGCACATACATTTGTCTTGAGTTGATTGTTGCCGCCGAAGGCGGCTAGTTTATTGTGCACCCCATACTCATCCTGTGAGCGGTAGCGCAAAAGCATTACAGAGGGCACAAAAG